TATAAAGATTCTGATAGAAATTTATTTTAAATAACTATGTAACACATACAATAACAATCTCTGTTTACTCTTGTTTTTTGTAGTTACCTATATAAATGTCGGTTGTATCGAAACATGTCCAAAGTAAGTATGTAATAAATATTAAAGAAGCAATAATGAACTTTCGCGATTTATTACCGCCTTGTAGAAAGATTCTGCCAATGATGTTTACATATGTGTTAGTCTGTCTGTCACGAGCTATATATTTTTTTATTTGCAATACTACGCAACTGAGGCATTATTTTATCTAAGTATGTTATTTGAGAAATTAGTCTTAGTAATTGGTAGTCGCATTACTTTCGTTTTAAAAACACGTAAGGAACATAATTACATACCCATTAATATACTAAGTGGAACAAATAAACGATCAGGACTGTAAATCACAGAATAGATTTGTAACAGAAAAATATGCAAAAAAGTAGTTCTACTACTTTAGAAAATATTAATGTGAAGTAATAAAAGAAATGTCATTAATGCGAATATATGAAATATCACGTGACAATTTTGATAATTTACCTGAACTAGAATAGAACTTGAAACACAATTAAATGCGAAATAAGGCGTCTGATCCACTAGTCTATTTAATATTCTAATAAAGAAACTATTGACACTTTTATTAGTTTTTACCTTAATAATACCATACCAAGTTTGTAAAAGTCCAATCCCTATTGTCGGTATATAAAATACTAGGAAAGTAGATTCAAGTAAGTGATTTTATCATGATACTATACTATATTGAAATTTAACATTTTATAATTTTTTTAATGAGTGTAAATGGAATGGTAAACCCGCACGCGCTATCGGTATACGCTGGCGGGGCACCAGTGAGAGGTAATAGGTGACGATGAAAGAAGGTGCGTCAGCCCAGTCAGTCGTGACGAATCTCACTAGAATTAACCATGATAGTTTCCAGGGGGAACCGCGTGGAGGTCGATCTGATAGGGTGTATTGCTTGTAATAGGGAAATTAGATCCCATTACTAACAATCCCTTACCCCCACTTTAACATATTATATAACATCAGGAACCTATTCAGACGAGTTACACATAATATTATTAGTGGTAAAGTTAGAGTTTTTAATAATACAACAGGATTAGTTGAGTTTAATTTAAAGGATAAACTAATCTAATACCTTAAAACCTTACAGGTGTAAAAGATCTTAGTCTTTAGAAGTAATATTGAGTGGTCTTATTGCTGTGAATGACGCAGTATATTTTGTGATATTATATTTACAAAATATCACAAATATACCGTTCGATTATGATCATATAGTGTTTAATAAGAACAAGGAAAGTACGATTCACGAAGGTGAACAACTAAACTGAGGTAGTTTTCCCTTAAAGGATGGCCATAATATGCGGTCTCACCAAGTGTTTCTTCTGTATTATATCATAATATTTCATTGTTTTCTTCATGTTTACAGACGGCGATTACCACTTTTCCATCATGTGGCCATATTCTTATAAATATATAAAAAAGTAACAAAATTTATTGTTGAAAAACTAACACAAATAAAAGTTTTAATATAGAACGATTCCATTGCGACTCCACAGTAGAACAATGTTTCCAAGTAAAAAGATTTTGTAATAGATTGATGATTAGCCAGACAAATTATAAAATTAAAAAAAGTTTTTTGTTTACGTCTATGTCGCGTTGTTATGTAAGTGAAGCTTCGAGACAGTTGATAGTATTATTTGTGCACTTAATTTTGTATGTTCTCCAAAGAATACCATTATTGTATGCAGTAAAAAAATATTCTGCATCTGAATCTAGATATTAAGTTATCACCATATTAAATTCCATCAAAATTCGTGTAGTAGTTTTTGCATGTTTTGTGCATAGATAGAGACATGAACATGTAAGAATAAAAAATAGTATTCAATACATTATTAAAATGGTTAATAAATGTTTCATATGTATGTGAAAAGGTCTTTCACACTCTGTCACGTTTCGCTGTTCATATTGTAGCAGAAATAAATTTTATTTTATTTATATAACATTGCACTTAAGTTTCTGTCTCTATGTATTTGAAATAACTGTCTGTAATAAAACAGTCACGTAACATAGGTAAAATGTGTCCTATTGTGTAAAGTCATATACTAATTAGCGAGGTTCATGCTTTTCGAGTATGCGCTTCGGTGATTCACATAATGTCGACTAACTTGTCACATTATAGGTACTTTTCGAGACGGTGGAGGCATTAAACTGGCTTAAATTGCGAGTTTTCAAAGGTCATTTGATACAGGTGATATGATCAATCTGTAAAAAGCTAATAATTAATTATATATCTACAACTATTCATTTCTATATATTTATGTATCTTCACATCAGACATCAGGTAGCATAAAGGTGGATAAATAGATAGAGTATCGTAGCTAAGTCACTCTATGATATTAACCCGGAAGGAGTAGCGTAGGGTAGATGGTAAAAAACTATGGCAAAATTTTATTAATGCATACATAAATTGATTTATTTGCTACTGATACTTAAACTTAATTGCAGATTTATTACAAGAAACATGAATTAAAAATTATTTTTTACTATATAAAATAGTTTTAAAATAATTTATGAAGTAGCTATGTATTAGAATTATATATTATTATATTTTTTATGCAACTTAGAATGACAAACAAAGTGTCGGCCCACCTGATGGATAGTGGTAACCTTCGCCTATACACATGAGCAGTACCATGGACATAACAGAGTATACTGTTTCGCCTATGATACCCCATGCGTTGCCATTCCTGAGGACTTAGGTGTTATCCCTCTGTACTCTATAAAATCACTGCCATATCTCACCCTTCAAACCGAAACACAGCCAAGCGAATACAATTGTTTCACGGTAGAAACACGAATGGGACAGAGGTGGCCAAGCAAACGACTTTTGTATAATATCTCCCTCTGGTAAAATATACGTAATAAAAACGGACTATCTTTTAAAATAACAATGTTTAGATACTATACTCATGTTAATTTATAATATTATAATTTTGAATATTTATGTAATAATATTAAACTCTTTTTAAAATGTTAAATTACTTTTAGAGTAGTCTGTGCTTGCAAACATTGTCAATAGATTGTCAAATATCTTATTAGGTACTTGCTTATTTATTAAACTCCTACTGTCGTTCATTTTAGACTATGTTAATATAGCACAAGACATACAAAAATGATTGTAAACTTACAAAAAAGTTCGCACTATGTATTTGTTTATTAAAATAATGTATTAGTATTCTAAAAATGGATATTGTTAATTGATGATAATGTCTCTTGAATTTTATACGAAACGTATTGCTTTTGGTTAGTATTTATTTTAAAAAATATCTACTGTATTTTAAAATTAGTTTCAACGTCTGGCTCTATGTCACGAGTTTACATAAGCGAAATACCACACCATACAATAAATTACATAAAAAGTGCAGTTCAACTATTTTGCCCAATTCAATTTGCTTTATGACATCCTGCAAGCGTTGTAATAATTGATATATTTTAGTAAATAGTAAATCCCCTACTAATAAATGCTTTTATAATATATCGTAGCACGAGACGATATTATATTGTTTCGTGTGATTTTATCGTTACAGTATAATATAATAGCGAAATTCGTATATAAACATAAGAATAAGTAATGATCGTTGATGTCGATGTCGTCATGACATTTCCAAGATATCATAGGCGTCGTGGAAAATTAAAAGTATCACTAAATAATTATACAAATTTAGTTCTTTTATTTGACCGGTATCGCAACCTTGGAACAAATACAAAAACCTGTGATCATGAAGAAAAATTTTATGACGTGATGGAAACATTGTATGGTGTTACGGAAATTGATAATAAAAACTGATGGATCTCGATCATCTCTGGCTACCTGGTGTAAAAATATAAACAGAGAACAATCTTAATCTGTCAGTAACGTCATTTCAACAAAGTATTGTTTACATGCAATTATTTACACTTGCATTTATATACATTCTACCAAATGCATTGTAAACGATTGTAATAATATACTGTGGCTTTACACTTAAGTACCACAACCTGGTTTTTATGTTTGTAACATGTTATTTATATTCGTAATACATAATATATAGTAGACTTAGATTATATAGATAGAGCATCAAGCCTTAAAAACGGGTCAACTTTTTGTCATCTAATTGCCAAATTAGCTACTTAGTTTTTTTTTTATTACAGTATTCTATATACTTATGCATAAAATGCATCTTAACGTATTATTTAATAAATAAAATAAGTATTTACATATTAAAAAGGTGCAAAATTTATAACACTAAATAAATGTAGGAGTTATAAAGGAATCATAACTATTTATCACGCAATTTTGTATGAAAAAGTTGACCCGTTTTTCTCGAAGCATTTCTATGGAGACACTATCTATATAATCTAAGATAATAGTTATAGGTACTTTTTAAGAAATAAATGTTACGGAATAAGTAAATTCTTTTATGATTTGTTCACAAGATAGGCATTTCAAACTTACAGTTATAGGTAACAAATAATAAACAGGTGACTAAAACTTACTAAAAAGTTTTATCTAGTATATGAAATCTGCAATCTGTCTGAGTTAAATTGATATAATTAATATTTTTTGTAATCGAATTATTCTAATTCTCGTTTATTCATTTATAAAAAGATAAAGAGTGATGCTCAAAGAAAATTCGATAGATATAAAATATCTTTATTATTTATTGTAAAATTTTCTCACACGAAGAAAGTCGTATGGGTTTAAGTTATCAGGTTCGTTGCGATATGGAAACGTTATTGATTTATAAATATACATATGGTATACGTTATAGAGTGTAGGTACACTACACATACACACTTACTATTCTAGTGTTTGTGTATTTAGACATATATTCATAATTATGGATAAATTTATGTAAAGAATCTAGAAAACTCTTTTTTACACTTTTCTTCTGTTATATTAAGTATGTATTTTATATTTTCAGATGTGATCCCAGTGCGGTTTAATCTATGGATAATGTTGTTCACGAGCTGTTGGATCATTTACATGCTCCGGGTCAACATGAGTCTAAATCTCATCGCTATGGTTCCGCGCCCTCCTAAAAATAACACGTAAGCTTTTGTTATTATAAATAATAATATATTTTAGAATAATAGTAGATTTAATAAAATTTTTTAGTAAACAAAATAATTACACATAAATGTACTTCCATAGCGAAGTATATATAAGACTAGACTATAATTAATGTGATGAGACATACAAACTTAGTTACTGCAAAAAAAAAAATGAAAAAATATCAGACAACGCTTTAAAGAGGTATAAATGTACTCAATTTAACAGTTTTTGCTTGTTTTCGAACAAAAACCACACGTTGCTCGATGACGTCTATGGGAGTAAAATATCGTTGTCTCTAAGAGGTGTTAGACAATTTATCATTGAATAAAAACATATGAATAAAACAAAAAGTGGTTGACAACGTCAATTCAACTGTAGGTATTTTGTTAATAACAGTTGAGTAGTGTTTTATTATATATTATGATTGAAATTAGTCACGCAATTGGCTGGCGTATCTAATATGTTTACGTGTTTTATCAGTATACAATCTCAGTGTGAGCCGACAGACGATGTCACAAACGCAACACTTCGTCATGTGGACATTACTGACGTCAGAGAAGCACCTAGGCAGGTATGAAAGCGGCATGCAGATTATCAACATATGGATATTTGGTTTCATTTTTCAGTAAATTTTCTTTATGTATTGTGGATAGTAAGTAGCACAATTATTGTGTTATAATTATTAATTATATCATTTGTATGTTTTTTTTTACAAGCAAATTATTTTGAGATATAAGAAACATTGTTTGTAAGATAATATATAGCACTAGTAATGAAAAGTTCGGTATGAAATAAGTACAGACTTCTTGCAGAGATACATATTAAATATAGGCACTTTTTTGTTGTGTGCAATAAAGTAAGTAATAGACATAATTTTTAAATGAATACCTTTGGGCATATTACATAGTGTCATCAATTCCTAAATTATAGCTTATACTAAGAGTATTAATTAGACAACTTATAGATATGATCCATAGAACTATTAATAATTTTTGCAAATACATAATTTATATGTAGAAAATACTTAGACCAATAAGAACTGATATATTCATGAACAAAAATGTTTATATTGTACGGGAATTGAACCCGAAATCATCGAAAGTTGAGCCGGAATGTTAAACAGTTATACCATTAATGTCGTCGAGTAGTATATTAATTTTATTCTCAAGATAATAATATGTTATGTCTATGTAATATATTTCAACTAGGGAACATAATTTATTGATATTCATCATTCCTTACAGAAAGTAATACATCTGTGTGGACTTTTATAAATTAGTGGAAAGCAATTGGTTTCTATATTATTGTCAAACCTACTGACCCGACCTAAAAGTACAGTTGTAGAATGTATGTTCTGCATACCAGTTCTCGCCGATTCTGTTTATATACCCTATTTTTTATTATTAATTTGCATTGTCTAAACATACCATTGTTAATTTAAAAATAGTTTTATAAATTATGACTACTAGTAAGTCATGTAGTTAATTTACATATATTTTCGTAATAATAATTAAATAGAATGCTATGTTCAGCTAATGGTTATAGTTCTCTCAAACAATAAAATAGTTTCTTTGCAGTTTATACACAGAATGATATTGACATCATTTACATCTATTAAGGAAACATTCTATAAGAGAAACGGATATTTTTTTTCAATGAGACGAGAATCGAAAATTTTAAAATAATTATTTATTTCATTTTGTAGAACTTCATGAGCGTAGTGCTTCAAAACCCATTCTTTGGATATATCTACAAGTTTGTGTTATTATGACAGCGATATTATGTTATAGGTGCCTGGTGAGACCTTCGATTGGTCTGCTGATCAGCAAGCTCTGATACTCGGCTCGTATTTCTGGTCGTACCCAGTGACGTCACTAGTGGGCGGAATGGCGGCGGAACGTTGGGGCCCTCGCTATGTAGTGCTTATTAGCACAGCAGTCAGCGGTATACTCACTGCACTAAGTCCAGTTGCCGCTACTATAAATAACATCGCCCTGGTAGTTGTGAGGTTCTTACTCGGTCTAGCGGGGGTAAGTTGACATTCCTCATGGTTTGTCTTTATATTTGACCATATTACATCATGCATATGTTACTCTGAATAGATTCATTAAATATTATTTTAACATATACGACTTAGATCTACATAGAATTTTGTTATGTGTATTTGTTTTTGGCGTTCCGTCATTAGGTATATCATGTTATATATGTATGTACAATACGTATAAGGTATCATCGATCCCGAACACTAACAGTCAGTATTTTTATTGTAGTTTTATCTTGTCATAACTGCAGCATAATAAGTCAGACGTCTTTGTTTTTTAATGATACATCCTGTAGGATAAATATCTTACAAAAACCAAGAGATCCGTTCTAACGTTGTATGAAACACTAGGCCTGAATCTCCTTTATAAATAAAAGCAAATTAATATGTTCACGACTGTAATATTTTATGAGGTAATCGGAGGCATTCATCATAAAATGTCGTTGAGAACGTAATGCTCGATATTTTGCTAAGCATTTTTAGATCCAACGTGGCAGGGACTGAGTAATTTTCCTTATAATATTTTATCGTAGTAATTTAGTTTGAATAATGAAGACGCTACATAAGCAATGTAGCGTGTTCATAAAATGTACAAATAGTATCGTTTGTACATAAAAGGCCAAAATTTCGATTTTATACGATTCTAAAATTCGATATTTTTATTATATTTTTTGTTTTTAAAAATAAAGTTTAGACTATTAGTGAAAATTATCGTATTAGGTCATATAGTTTCCTTGAATTTCAAATGTATACACTGCACGCAGTTTTTTTTTTCTTCTTGATATAAATCAACATTTTACAATAAAAATTCTGGAGCAAAATAAAAAAAAAAGTATGACTACTTATTTAGAGGTAAACAAGTGTGTTTGTATTTTTTTTTTTTTTTATCCTTTTTAATGTTATAAATAAGTCTATTTGTTACTTCTTGGTGCCTTAATTACTCATGACCTTAACGGTGATTTTTTTGTATTAAAGGGTGTTGTATATGATCTCAACCTTACCTAATGGGAAGTGATAATTCAAAGAAACTCGCGAGTCCATGAACAACCGAATCACTTTTGCCTTTATAAGGTCAAGATAGTATAATTATATACCTGCCTATAATCAACAGAAAAGTTTTAATAATTTGACATTTAGCGATAATATTTAAAAACTGATCAATTTTCTTCATTTATGGATCAAAAACGGCTATGTCCTTACCGTGAATGTCTCCATTTGCGTTATTTGAAAGAATTGAATATGTGTAATTGCTAACAATACATATGACTGATATAAAAAAAAAAATTATGTGAAAATTTAAATTTCAGATTGACTTTCTTAAGCTGAAACACACCGATATTAAAACAAATTATTTCGAGTTATAGTAGTGTAGGCTTACTTTCTACCATCTTATGCCTCGTTCATGTTCGGTGAAATGTGTTACTTCACCATAATAGCAACAGGAATTATAGTTTTGTGCAAAGTATTTTTTTTTATTTTATAATATGATTATTTTGGAACATTGTTTCAGGGGTTTATATATCCAGCACTGCATGTACTAGTAGCACGATGGGCTCCACCAGCAGAGAAAGGGAAATTCGTTAGCGCCATGATGGGTGGAACTCTAGGGACAGTAGTGACTTGGTCTCTAGCTGGGCCGCTTATAGAGAAATTTGGATGGGCATCAGCTTTTTATGTACCCGCAGCGATAACATTTTTGTGGTGTTTCTTATGGTGGTATCTAGTTGCAGACGCGCCTAATGAACATCCTAGGATATCAGATACAGAGAGAAAATATATATTAGACGCCCTCGGAGACAAGATTCAGAAATCCAAAGTAAGTCAATATTTACAGTATCACCATCTATTTTTGCTTTTCAAGATATATAAAAGGAAAATTGGCTATAATCGTACTTAATAGGTTAGAAATTGGGTTTTGTGGCAGTTTGTTATCATGTAGATATGTATCTATCCATATCCATGTGGACAAACAAACAATTATAATAATGAATAAGAGTTGCCTTATAATTATTTGTTTCATCATATCAGCCGTTAACTGTTCACTGCTGAACATAGGTTTCTCTCAAATGGCAGGCGGGTTGGCAACCGTGATTAGCTTTTGGTGATGTTTAAAGAGGGACGCTGCTGCCCATTCATCGACCATTAAGTTCCCTTAGTTGCCTTTTGCCACACCCACGGTAAAGGAAGGGGTGACCTATTCTATGCCGGGGCCCATGGCAGATTATTATTATTTGATACAGATTATTGGTTTACTAAATCCTATGTTATATTTAAAACAACTTTCGGTGATTATTATAAAGCTTATTGTTAGTAATTTTATTTTTAAATCTATGAATAAGGAGTAGTAATTCCGTTTATGATGGCGGGATGCTCGTGCTGAGTACTATTCATTAGCAAAAATCTTAGCTGTTGTGAGATTTTAAAGTCAAATCTGGCCGACGATAAAATGGCGGTGTTGAAATAACATAAATAAATAACATTAACAAACTTAATTTTTGTGTTCTTCATAATTGTTGCAATTGATTGTGGTTATCATCTGGCTGTGAATTGTCTTCTTGTCATTATTAGAGATTTATTGTATTTAATATAGTGAATTAAGCTGATTTGAGATTTAGTTAAATAAAAGTTTTTATTTTCATTTCAGGGTCTACCGCCATTCAGGAGTATAATTACATCAGTTCCATTCTTGGCTATGGTGTTAATACATTACGGAAACCTTTGGGGACTATATTTCATAATGACTGTGGGACCAAAATTTGTCTCCAGTGTATTAGGTTTCGAATTATCTGCTGCGGGTGTTATTTCAGCACTACCTTATTTAGCTAGAATGTTTTTTGCAGCCATATTTGGAGTTATTGGTGATTGTATACTGGCACGAAACTTAATGACTACCACTACTATTAGAAAGTTCTTCTGCTTATTTTCGCATATTTTACCTGGACTATTGTTAGTATTACTAGTATATGCTGGCTGTTCTACAGCACTCTCTGTATCTCTAATAACAATGTCCATGGGTTTTAACGGAGCAGCGACGCTAACAAATCTACAAAATCATCAAGACCTCGCTCCGAATTATGCTGGAACATTATATGGAATAGCAAACTTTGTAGGCAGCACAGCTGGTTTCTTTACGCCTATGATTACAGCGTACTTTACCAAAAACGGGGTAAGTTACTAAATTGTTTTTACCTACATATGTATCTTCTGATAATGGAGTAAAAATACAATGTGTTACCACTTTTTTCGTCCTTAGAATATCGTAAGAGGATACTAGGAATATTAATAAAACAGAGTAAGAAAATAAAAAAATAAAAACAAATTAAGATGTTATAAATAAGATTGCTTTTTTTTTTTTTTTTTTTTTCTGAATGTGTTTGCTGTTGGCCGTGTGTGGCCTTTACAGCTTCACCGGACGCGAATGCAGGGGCGAGTGCTGATGGCACTCCAAGCCCGCGAGAGGGGAGCGACAGAGGTGTCGACTCTTTCTTATGGACTGCGGTGTGTGTGTGCGCCTAAGGGCGCCAGAGTGGCTCGGCCTCGGCTTAGGCCACCGCACTTCGACCCCCGTCGAGGGACGGCGAAGGGTCGGTACGTCTGGGTGGGTGAGATTGCGACGCGGTTGTTATGCGCTCGGGCGCAAACCTGATCGCGCGCGGACCGTGTGTCGCGAGGGTTCTTCGCCCCCGCCGGCGGGGGCGGTGTGTGCGATGTGTGGGTGTGTTTGTAGGGGCTCTTGTCGAGGGTTCCGCGGTAGGTAGGGAGGGAGACGCGTTTGCCGTCGTAGTTGGATCATCGGGGTCCAAGAGTGCGTGCCTCGGGCGACGACGTTTTGGAGCGACGTTCTCTATGGGGGGTTTGTATTTGACCGCTCTTACTATGAGCGGATTTGAATGGGACTCGGCTGAGGCAAAGTAGCGTCGAGACGCTTGCTTCATAAATTGCCTTATAGTGGGTATTTTGAGGTCGCGGTGTAGATCCACGTTGCGCACGTACCACGGGGCGCCCGTGGCCCGTCGCAGAAATTTATTTTGCACCACCTGAAGGGGGTGAAGTAATGAAGGAAGGGCGTGGGCGAAGACGACACTAGCGTACGTCATCACCGGTCTTATACATGCTTTATAGAGCGTCAGCTTTGCGTTAAGCGACAATTGGCTGCGCTTGTTAATAAAGGGATGGAGGCGTCCCAGTATAAAATTGGCCAGGCCTCGGACGCGCTTAAGATGAGATGCGAAACTCAACTTGGAATCTAGTGTCACGCCTAGGTATTTGGCTTCGTTCGTCCAGGGGACGGGCGTGCCAAACAGCTGAATAGAGGCGGGAAGGGATGGTTTTCTTTTGGCCGTGAAAAGCACGGCGGCGCTTTTATCTGGGTTGACTTCGATGCGCCATTTTCTGAACCAGTAGGCCAGCTCGTCCACCGCCCGTTGAAGCCTGTTGGCTGCACAGGCGGCCGACGTGCTGTCCACATATAGGGCTGTATCATCAGCAAAGAGGGCGATTTGCACTCGGGGCTGACGCGGGATGTCGTTGGTGTACAACGAGAAGAGGGTGGGGGAGAGGACAGCGCCTTGAGGGACGCCGGCTCTAATCGGTCGTGCGCTGGAACGCACTCCATTGACGCGATAGCGATATGACCTATTGGACAAGAAGGCTCGTATGATGTGCACGAGCCTGTCTGGCACTCCCATCTTGTGCAGTTTGAAAATCAAGCCGCTGTGCCAGACTTTGTCAAAGGCCTTCGCTACGTCGAGAAACAGGGCACATGTGACCCCGTTGGATTTCAGGTGTCGGGCGTTAAATAAGATTGCCTAGCTGAGATATTTATAGTATTCTAATGTTTTTTTTACTAACATTAATGTTAATTACTACAATGTCATCTCTCTTTTAATCAAAATAGACATTTACGTGTTTAATAATTTAATTAAAAATTTAAAGTTATCGTTAAAGTTTTTTTCCACTAAGATATAACAATAATAATAGGTTTGCCTATATTAATCTAGATTTCTTTTTCAGAACTCTTTTGAACAATGGAGGCCAGTATTTTTCATAGGTGCGTCTGTGTATGTAGTGTCTGCGCTATTTTTCATATTGTTTGGAAATGGTAATATACAAGAATGGAACTTCCCAAAGGAAATCACTTCTGAAAGTAAAGACGATAAAGAAAAAAATGGAGATCTTAAAGACATGAAGGCATCAGCAATGAAAAATGGCGATGTTAAGGATACCAAGGAAACTTCACTAAATGTAAGTAGTTAGATGAGAAATTGTATGGTTTAGTGTTATTAAACCTAAATAATTGTATAAGTATCTATAGAAATGAAACTGACTGAACTACGAAATCAATTGGTATGGTAGGTACGTTTAGTAACCAATGTGCGAAATATCTAACGTAGGTTTGATTTTTTAAGTTTGACTTTATTAAAGTACTGTAACTAAATCACAACCTATACGTAGAATTATTTATGTAATTCGAAAGATATTTATTACGCAACTTCCACTGCTAGGTCATTAATAAATTTGTTTTGTATTTAATTAAATTATTGATTTTAACGCAATTAATTGACATGATAAATTTAGTCACAATAAATTTTGTTAATATTTATTACTAAACACTTATTTTCTGTGATGTTTATTACCAAATTTAATACTTACCTATAAGTTTAGTGTCGTCTGAATTGTATTATTTACTTAATAGATTTGTATTTAATCTCCGCAACTGTAGTTTATTTCAAGTGACTAGTTGAAATCAATTGTAGATGGAGTAGTGGGTTTTAACAACCGTGGTTTCTTCGGTCACGTATTGGTTTTCACCGTTGCGAAAGATAGGTATTTCAACATTGTGAAAAAAATAAGTATTACTTATTACAAAAAATTGCAAGTCTATATCTATTGCGTCGATTATTTCGACTAATAACTATAGTCATATCTTGATTTACTAGAAAATTACATACCTACTATAGAATGTTTAATGTAAAATAATGCGGGTGATGTATACTTGGCATTCATATTATTTTAAACATATTGTTGCCATTTTGCAATAAACTAGTTAAGATGTGATTAAGAACTGTTAATTATGATATAAATTCCTGTACCCATCATATCGCAAATTTTAATCTTTATAATATAACTATTTCCTAATTATTGAGGATGTATAGTAGAATATTTTGAAGATTTGGTTAGTTATTGTAATTAGTGTTTGGAGTATTCATAAAATCAAAAATACAATAAAATAATTTCAAAATAAGTAATACGTAGCGGTGAATTAACTAGTGTCAGTATCAATACTAAAATATGAAGGTGTATTGAGGAAAACGTTTACAAAAATATTTTGTCTAGAGTTATTTGAGTATAATTCGATAAAACAAAAATTATTATAAAATGACGTGAACATTTACATATATTTTTTCGAATTATATGAATAATGCAAATTGACTAATTTACCAGTCTAACTCTAATTATTGCATCGTTTAACACGCGATGATATTGGCAGGTTTTTAACATTCCTAAATTATTTGTGTATTTCAATATTTTATGATAAGTACTTAGTTTAAAACTTAATAATCCTTAGACTAAATCATATTAATGTAGAATATTACGTTTATCCTAATGGACTTTAAAATTAATTTAGTTTAACTTATGACCAGTGGTCGATAAGAAAATATTTATTCTGTGATGTTATGATCTACCATAATTAAGAAATTATGAGTGATATGTTTGGCTTATACTTAGACATAATTAAATCTGTATCTATTGCAAATAAATTTAAAAATAATAATAAACTTTGTGTAATTATGTCCTATAAAATTTATTTTTATTATTTTTCCCCTATTTTTATTACGTATTTTGTACATTCAGTTTATATTAGAATCCATGTGGCTATGGCTCTATGTAAATATTTTTGTACAAATGTGAACGCCATATTTTTACAAGTGATGTTTAAAATCAGAGTTCGTGCCTTAGTAAGCGCTCAAGACATTAACAGTATTGTTAATTATTATCTAAAAAAAAGCATAAAATGTTTACATATTTTATTTTTAGATTGGAGTTATGATTTTTCTAGGGTACTTTTTAATTTACATTGTTCGTTATAATTTAAGTGTGCATATAATCGATATGGCTCAGATAACAAAAAGGGAAGACAATGGCATATACAATAACACTAACATTCAAAGAAATTCTGGTACTGTGTCTGGGGTTAGTATTATTTAATCAACAGTTGTAATGCTCCCTGCCAAGGTTTTCCTTAGAGATTAGTTGGTGATAAGTGAGTTTGTTAAAAAAGAGTGTATTAAAGTTTCTTTAGGGTTAGCAACGCGCACGTGATACCTCTAGTGTTGCAGGCGTCCATAGGCCACAATGATTATTTACCATCAGACGGGTTGTATGCATGTTTGCCGCCTTTGTGGTATTAAAAAATTTTACTTTGCCTCTAATATAAGAAGTAACAAGAAATGAAAGAATGATAGATATTGAAAGTAATATAAAATAAATTTGCATAGACTCAAAATTTCACATTTAAAAAATAAAATATTTTATGTCATTGACTCTATCGGTGTTGGGGCAGTGACTACTGCATTATACGTGAATATAGAACTTGAATGCACTGGTTATGTGCATTTTTATTACATTATATGTGATACAGTATACGTAACTGGCAATAGTTCATTAAGTGCTTATAACTAAAAAAGTAGTTTCCGTTGTATTGATCTAGAACGTGGTTCATGTGTATATTAAATTACATTCAAATCCTTCAGCTGTTTAAGCATAAGCCTATGCTTAAACAGCTATAAGCATAAATACCCTTACTAACTTTCATATTATTTAAAGCTAATATTATTGGTATAAGTAGAAAGTAGTATTTTTATGTTAATATTAAAAAAATAATATAGAATTTTAAAACAATCGAGGAAAACATCTATATAAAACTTAAATTATTCCCCATTTATTACTCAAGCTCACTACCATATCATTTCTTTCAGAATGCCCTACATTTAATTAATTGGAATGATATGAAAGTGGCGAAGTTATTTTCAGCTTATCACATAGGATATTGCATTTGTTTCCCTATCTTTCACAATATTGGAGACAGGTAAATGTAAACTCGCAACTCGAATGAAATTCATTCGAGCCGTTAAAAAAACAAATTAAAATGTTATTTCTTCCGGTTGACGTGTTCTAAATTGTATATAAGTACCTCCATCACATAAGTATATGTAAACAAATGCATAAATATCTACTTATACTTTCACCAAGAAAATGCGTATTGGGTTTTTCCTTAACTACAAGGTACTTTTTAATCATTATGTAACGTATTAGTGACAACGCGGTCAAACCATCGTCCTTAATGTATTTCAACACTGTCACTCTCGACGTTTCATCGCAATAGAAATATCCAGAAAAAATCCAGTTATAGGAATGCGAGATCTTTGACCGAACTTGTCCCAGGCATGGCCTTATACCGGTACAGGGTGAATCATCTTTGCACGTTAAAATTAGCACTGTGAACCACAAAGGCAACTAAACCAGTTACACGTCACAGGCTTGGCCCTACATGGGTAGTGGGGATCGCTGGGATGACATCGGGTGTACTAAGCTGTCTCACGCCGGCGTCAGCGTACTATAGCTTCTGGGCTTTATTTTTTGTACGCATCATAAAAGGATTTTGCGCAGTAAGTATTTAAGTGTTACTTTTCCTCATAACATTAATGGAATGGTAAGTCGACAAATTACGTCTTAAGTCGAAGCTTTGGTATCATTAGTTTCGTTCGCAACTATTAAACAGGATTTATTTATAATTGAGGAAAATAGCAGGGTTTTTTAAGAGATGATAATGCACTATCGGTATACGTTGGCGAGGCACCAGTGAGGGATGATAGGTGAGAATGAAAAAGCAGGTCAGTTAGCCCTTCGTGATCGTCCATCTGAAATTTAGCACGATTGTTTCCAGGGGAAACCGCGTGGAGGTCGACCTGAAAAATAGCAGGATTGGTATTCGAAATTAATTAAATTTTACACTAAGCAGTGTAGGCCTATGTTCTCTCTCATCGGCTAGGGGCCTTGCCTCCCGACAAAGTTTTTTTCGCGAAAATCACTTTAAGTAATAATTTAATTTGAAGCAAATCTTCATTTAACAAACCTTTAATTATTAATATTATCAACTTTTTTATATTGAAGAAAGAAAGAAAAAAAGAAAAAGGGCCCTGACATGATTAATTCAGCTCTGTATAGAGGCACATAACATCTCAGTCCTCAGGAATGGCAATACATGCGATGTTCCATATACATCATAGTGTATTTTATAATAACTATGATGATGTTTATGTTTATGTTTATAGGCGATAGTTGTCACTTTCCATCAGATATGGCGTCAGCTTATGTAGTTTATCATTTAATGTTGTTTATCCAACTAATAAACAAATTCAATTTTATGAATGGGTATTATTGTCTTTTTTTCGTTACGACAAAGGTATAAATACATATACCTTATAATATACAGAAATATACAAATACCTTAAAGTATTTTATACATACAGGGAGCCATGCAACCCAGCATGGTACAGGTATTGAGACATTGGGTCCCGCCTATAGAAAGAAATCATTTTATGTGGGCTTATTGTGGTAAGATTAACTTAATAACTATCAAACTATACCTTAAAATTTATCAAGCGGTTTCAGCTTTGGTTAGAGATCCGGACATACATTATTACATAATAACAGATATACATACGTACACAAATTATATTTCAGATATACTAATTGATGAACATACATCTATTTAGTTTACTATTTCTTCATTTTTATAAGATCTATTTATCTTGTCTTTTCTTGAATATGGAGATGTGTGACCTTCTAATACAGATGTTATCACTTACTAGAATATTAGAACTATGTTCTTTGTAGTGTACTAATTTTGTTATTTAAATATTTTCACTCTTATTATTGAAATATTTTTCATTTAAACAATATAGTAACCGTGTATTCGATCAATGAAAAACAAGAATTTACATTTTTTAGCTGCATTTACAACTTATATACTACATTTTTATCTTTTAAGCTACAGTTTCAACTTTGCGCTACATTTACAACTGTTGCGCTTTGTATATTTTGAATCTATTTTCCATAATATAAAGTGTAAATTTGGGTAAGTATAACATATAACAATAATTTTTGTACGAAAGTCGTCTGCATATGTACCTGTTCTCTTCGTGTTACTGCCGTATGTTTCGGTTTGAAAGCTGAAATATATTAACTATATATACTTTTGGAATAAATAGCTCTACACGAGGGGTTCTATGGACGTTACAGTCTATTCTGTAATATTCATAGTATTGTTCTGATAACCATGATGCTGTTCGTGTTTATGACTGATAGTGTTTGCCATACCGAATTGTATTTAAATAAACTTGAAGCGTGATAGATCTATTGATTTTACATATTTTCCAGGAATTACAACAGGAACATTTTCCACTTTCCTTATTTGTGCTGCAGTGCACTACTATTCTCAATGGCCAGTGGGTTTTTATATATCTGGTGTATTGCAAGTAACATGGTCAGCTTTATGGCTCTTTGTGGTTACGGATCGACCAGATAAACATCCGTATATATCAAATGAAGAATTTACTTATTTAACTAATACAATCGGTACAATATTCACAATTAAGGCAAGTTGATTATTTTTGCTTTAGCAGTTAAAATTGTAAGTTTTAAAGAATGTATATCAAGTAATACTTATTTGAGTCTAGATATAATAAAAACTAGGTTATAAATTCGACGTACTTTTAATTAATATTACTAAATGTATACTTTTGGCATAGAAATGCAGAATATCTAATTGGTAGTTTTTATAGCCGCGAAGATGCAGTGGTCTCGCTCTGATAACTAAATTTAGAATTTACAATTATACTTTATTGTACATGTATGATATTATTAAACTCATTAACTGATACCGGTGACTTGGTGGTTATGAAAAATGAAATTTTACTGAGATACCTAGGTAGGTATTTGCGCTATTTTTGTCCTTGGAAAGTTGAACTTTAGACAAGGTTTTTTCTACTGTATATGTATTTATTATTTTTAAGTGAGTTATGTGATGTGTACATAACGATAAAAATGTAACTGGCTATCTACCAAAAGTGAAGCACGGTATTGGAAATAATATTCATTTGATACAATAAGTAATATAAAATTATTAATTAAAAAATTCTAGTTGATGAATTCTCAGGCACCATGGAAATCAATATTAAAATCTGTTCCATTTTGGGCCCTGTGTATATTGAATTTTGGGTACGCTTGGATGATTATCTCTTTATGTATTTATGGGCCATTTTATTACTCGAAGATAGTCAAGTACAGTATTTATAGCGTAAGTATTTACATATATAGTTTATATAACTTTAAATATCTCTTCATGAGCTACTTGTCCAGAAAGGAGTTTCCCAATTTGCCTGTATTTTATGTGTGAATGTTACGCGATATCTTCATTTTTTTATTCAATTAGATATTACTATCATGTTGGCGATATTAATTTTATGACGATTGAAATAGCTATATTTTGGAGCAAAATTTTAAATTATATTCAGTAATTATGGCGGTATATTTGTCAGATTCTGACTTTGTCGTTAAAAACATTTAATGTTTTTAATAGTTAAGGAGGTAGAATATGGCTACATTTCTTCATCGAAAACTGGAGCAGCCCTATAGTAATATAAGGAAGCACATAAAGAAGTATTTAATTTTTATTTTTTCAACCTAGGAAAACCGAAACCAGTGATATTATTTTACAGCATTGTATTATATTCCTATGGGCAGTAAGCTTATTAATATTGTGTTATTATTTATTAATATTTTGTATTAATATAAATGCAGGCTTCAGCATTAACAGCTTTGCCGTTTTTCTGCCGGTTGGTATTGGGCACAATTGTAATACAAACATTTCATTGGTATAAGCACAATTTGAAGCTTAAAAGAATTAAGCACATAAGGAAGTATTTTATTATTGTATGTAAGTAAAATATTGACGTCCATACAGTATTTATTTTTGTAATAAAATTCCCTTATCCTTCGAAGGATAAGCAAGCTGAAGTGGCAATAGGCTGGTCACATAACTCGAAGAACCGATAACCGATAGGGAAGAAAGGTTCTTGAGTGGCGTCCACGTACGGGTAAACGCAGTGTAGGACGATCCCCCCCACTAGATGGAGTGACGACCTAAAATGCGTTGCAGGGAGTCAGTGGATGCAGATGGCTCAGGATCATTCTTTATGGCAGTCTATGGAGGCGGCTTATGCCCAGCAGTGGACGGATAACGGTTTAAATGATGATGATGAATAAATTTTGTGACATTTTCAATATCAGAAATATAAAAAACATAAATATAAAATATATCATTTGAATGAGTTCATAATTAAGCTCAGATTTACATGTAGATATACAAGTAAAATGTAGCTATTGGTGTCGTTTGTGGGTATTATATTGTATTTATCGTTTTAAAGAATAAACCTATCTAATGTTTCATGGTCATTTCTTTTATGCGAACTTTTCTTACACAAATAATATACAACAAACACGTAGGTATCTTACTTTCATTTGCCCCTTAGACTGCCTTTAGACTTCATATGTATACTTAAGGGTCATATCGTATTCTTCACATTCGTCTTATTCGCTTCTATCTCAATAACAAATATATTTCATTTTATATCCATTAAAGGTAGTAAGGTACATCTAATAATTTTTGTAAATATTTTACAACACAGTGGAGAGGCATTTACTTGTACGGACTATGGGAGTTTATCGAGTCAATATTGGCTTATAGCCAACCTACATGTACATAATCCGTATTTTGGATATGTTAATCATTATTAGTTGTCGCTATGCTTAATAGAGTTCATGTTTATTACAATCGAAGTTAATTTGAGTTGTACTATTCCGATTAACACCAATCAGTTTTATATATTAAAAATTTAGTATACATTTTTTAAATTAAAATATATAAAACAGATGTAACAATGACTTGTATATACTTTTTTTATACCTAAACATTTCTATACAAATATAAGTATTACACAATTTCGCCTATTGTTTGGTCCTCTAGTTAAAATATTCAATGTTGTTATGTTATGTTGTTCCCTAGTTCAAGAAAAAAAAAATATATTTGGGCGAACAAGAACCCCTATACTTGAGCTAATTCAGAAAAGTTCGTTTCCTAAATTGGTTCGACCGAGAAACGAAGCCGGGACTCGTTTACGTAAAGCATCAATGTGCCATGAAGGTCATCAAAAGTATATGGTTAAAAATAAACAAGCCCAATGTACAGGTTTTAGGACTCTCCACACTACCCATACCCTATTACGAAGCTGCGAAAAAACACGTATCCATATTTTAGTATACAAATAAACATGTGCTAATAATAGATCTATTTAGTGACTAGAATTTATGTACCTACGTAAGTGGAAATGTCAAACAAGCTCACCTGATGGAAAGTGATGACCGTCGTCTATAAATATGAAAAGTGATATTATGTGCATCACAAAGTATATCGTGACAATAGATGGTAAGTTCTTCTTATGCGTTGTCATTACTAAAAATTAAGGCTCCCACATCTTGTAATTTTATTGCCATATACCGCTATTTAAAGCGAAGTACAGCCCTGTAAGCACAGTTGCTTGACGCCAGAAACTCAAATGGAACAGAGGTACCCTATGAAGATGAACTTTGGCACTCTATTATCATCACATCATTATCACGATTTATTGAGTGACTCTGAAGAAATCAATACATACATACATACATACTATACATACGACACCATATATATATATATATATATATATATATATATATATATATATATATATATATATATTTGCTTTAAATTTGGCCAATTGTAAAAAAATTTTGTTTTCTCTCTAGAAGAGTTTTACATGCACGCACGCCCTGGGTCTGTACTACTACTAGTCTGAAATACGCGATATAGAGTAAATTTTGTTTGTCAGCTCACGTGATCCCGGGACTTCTTGTATTTGTCACCTGGTTGTTCCCTGTAGTACCTGGGCCTATTTTATTGACGATATCTGTCACTTTAACCGCCGCCGGAATGGACCTGACTCTGGACCTCTGTTATGTACGAAAATTCTATTGGGTATTTCTGGTATTTCTATAAAATATAGCAATTTTTACTTTTCAATATTTCTTTCGCAGGAGTTAACACCGACATATGTCAATTCAGTGAACACTGTGATAAAAATAGTCGGAAATATCTCTGGAATTATTCTATCGTTTTGTGTTGGTCAAGTCACGCAAAAATATAAAGTACTTTTCAAATATTTTATTGCTATTATTTTTAATTTTTTAACCAAGAAGTTGGGTTTGCCTACGAGCTTATATGTAGGGCTAGTTTTATAAATGTTATAAAGGGTTATTCAACATTTTACACATAAGTGGTTTAACACTATAATTCTATATCACACTAATACTTGTGTAGCTGCTTGCTTACAACCAACGGCTTTCTGTTAATCAAATATTGGACTTTAGGAAAAAATATTTTTCTAATGGGTAGTAATTGTGTTATGAATTTCATAATGCAATATGTATATTTACTTATGAGTATCTTTACATTTTAGAATACTCCTGTTACATGGAAACAAATCTGGTGTTTTCACGCTCTGGTCTTATTCATAAGTGGATTTGTTTTCCTTATATGGGGGGAAACCCATATTCAATCGTGGAATTTTAAAAAAAATAGGTACTTAATAAAATTATGTTATCATTATAATTGAGTATATTACAACATTTCTATATATTAATAATGTATGTAAGTACCTACACTCTAATAAATGTAATAATAGGTACTTAACTTTTATTGCTAGTGGTAGGCATACTATTCTCGATTAGGCACGTATTCGACTGTATCTTATAAACATGTATAGGTATAGATAATATAAAACTATAAAAATAATTTACATATTTAGAAGAAAAAATCATTTTTAAATTGTAATTGTCATATTTCTTTTTTTTCTTGTATTTTTAAGTATATATATATATTAATCATCTGCTCTCGTTTATTTGATTATTATGGAAACTTCACTGATTTATGTTATGGCTGTGTTTACTATTTATATGTTATAGGTATTGTATGTTTCCCTATTAAAGTAAAATAAATAAAAAAATTATGCATATAAGGAAGAGATTTTATAATAGACTGCTATAGGATTGCGAAACGAATACCTCATAAGAGTCACTTTATACGGGTTCTGACTTTACGACTTATTTCGTATTTATATCGTAATAAATTGTAGTGTATGAATCCGTATAAAATATAATATAACAGATTTGTACAGTTTTTTTAGTGGGTAACAGATAATGAATCTGAATAAAACGTCATGTTAAACGTTAGCCTTACATTTATCCCATTATATTTTATACAATCTAATCCTGTTATAAGAGGAGAAATGATAGTTGTTAGTAAAAGGACTGGCGGCCCCATTGCTAGCAATATACTATGGAGTAAAGATAACTCCTAATTTCGCTCTTCGTTACGGTGTATGCAGAAAGGCTCCACAATCAAATAATATCACAGAAACTATATTTGATTTTTATAGACCAAGACGTATATATACAAGAACTGCACCAAAACCATCAGTTATGTCTAATATTATGGAAGTAGAGGAAGAAGATTCGATGTAAGTTATTCTTATTCATATAAGTTTCTGCTTGCACATATATTTTCTATGATTCACTTGGACAATGTAGGTAGTATAATTTTACTTATTCTGCAATGAAGTATCAATTGATGTGTTTTGTAATAAATGATAAGATTTTCATTGCAATTTCGAACATAGGAGACTTAATACCGTTCTTAGCATTGGATGATGAAAAATTGAAATAATGATAGCAACAATTTTAAATGGTAACTTAGGTTTTAGTTCTTTTAGAGGAGCATGTAAAACTATTGTAGAAGATCTTCTTGTATGGTGACTTAGAAACTCTATTTGAGGACTCTGCTTAATATATTTAATATAGGAAACTTCATCTTTGATTTAAGAAACTGCTTATATTTACAAATAGAGCTCAATAATGGTTAAGTTCCATTTACTAATCGAGCGATTCGTATTTGTTATTAAAAATAAATTGTAATAAAAGAAGTAGTATAACATATCGTTATTCTAATGAAATAATTTGTTATAGAAATCGGATAGCGAATCAAAATAGAAACCAACAATAAGAATATAATTTCATTTTAAATAAAGTAATTTATTAATTACTTACCTACGCATTTTATTTTGTATGATATTAATAAGCATTTTGAATCCGAATCGAGATATTTTAAGCTATTTTAAGAAAGCTTGTTAATTCGTCTGTATTTTTTTTAACTAAATTCCAAAGCCATTATGATCATTGCCAGAATCTGAATTTGTGGTATGGTTTTAGCCAGGTATATTTTATTAAATTAGGGCTATATAAATACTATTTTCTAATAAAAAATGTATAAATTTTTTGATTGCTTACTCAATTTTATGCATTTATTATTTACTTTATAGTCAAGTGGTCCAGAGAAAATATAAGTTGTTTGAAATAATGCCCTATTTATTATCGCACCGCTCACCATCGACAGGGAATTCATCATCACATGTTAGAACCTAAATTATTGTGTACAAATCAATTTCTGATTTTAGGGAAAAGGAAATGGTAATAATGGAACTCTAACAGCTCTATTGCTAGCTCTATCAGGTCGACTTCCACGCGGTTCCCTCTGGAAATCATTGTAGTTAATTCTTATGGAATTCGTCATGATGGGCTATCTGACTTTTTTTCACCCTCAACTATCATCTTTTACTGATTTGAATGTATTTGCTCATTTGATTAATTTAATGAAACCTTAGATTACTAAGTCATTGGAACATTTTGAATTGCTCTAGTTCTGTAGATGAGGTAGGCATACTCTAAGAACAAGGAATTACATAGAAGGAAAGGAATGATAAAATTAAAATTGTAAATCATATGGTTGCCTCCTTTCTTCTTATGCAAATATAATTAGTAAAAAGAGGACAAAAGATACACCATTTTATACCACCATCAGATCTTAATATGTCAATTATTTATCAGTAACAAATTTAATATTACTAGACTATATTTTCGACACAATTTATGTAGAAAGTACGCAAGCAGACAACCTGAATTTGGTAGGGTAAATAAGGCCGTATAACATGTTCTATACACTAGCCTGCTATGATTTGACAATTTTATCACTCCTTATATGTTATTCCTTGTTCTTAGGGCATACTCGTCTTTAGTTTAAATCTTTCTAAATTTTTTTATTAAAGCTGATTAACTAGGAAAAAAATTATCTACTTTGAATTACAATTGTTTAACTCTATTGTTGTTTTTTTTTTTTTTAATTAATGGGTAGAGAAATCATGTCTCTGTTGCCAATTGATTTATTATTGTCTGTGCTCTCCATGAAGACGATGTGTTCAAAATTTCCACCGTAATAACGTACATAATCCAGTATTTGAAATAGTAGGTACCTACTTATCCACTTCCTTACAAATTCTATACAAATTCTTGTAGAAAACATTTGTAATGGTTCGATAATATTGCATTTAAAGAGTTAAATGTTTAAAATCTTAAATTAAAACATATCTAGTTCGGTGTTTTCTTTTTTTGTGTTATGATTACCTATTAATATCGCCGTGTGTGCCCGGCATAGAATGGACTGCTCTTTCCTTTCCCGTGGATAACGAGAGGCGACTAAGAGAGGGCGAGGTATAAGCAGCAGCGTCCCTCTTAAAACATTTTAAAAGCCTAACTCTGGTTGCCAACCCGCCGACCAACCATGGCAAAATTCCCCTTATGAGGAACGCTTCTTTTCAGCAGTGGACAGTTAACAGCTGAAAATAATAGGTATTAATACACTTAAATCTATTTATGCTTCAAAAAGTATAAATCAGAATTTGTCATGTTCATAATTCCCGCCAAATTTTTAGTACATACCTAATATTGGAGTAGAGTCTGAGGAACCATTTCTTTAGACCTATCTTCAAAATAAAAAATTTCAATGTGATATCAAAGCGTTAATTAAATTTCCCCATTGCTTTTATATTTATCTCGCTCTAACACATACAGTGCTATATTTTTTTTTCTTTTATATACTATTTTTTTATAAAAATTAATTTTTTTATAAAAAATAACTAAGTGTTAATACCCTAAGAACAAGGAATTTCAATTCCGAAATCTTTGTTAATGCCAGTTAAACTTGACAGATGTCAATTTGGTTTACATGCCAACATTGCCAGAATGGGTATTTTTTCGCAATTATGAATAAAAATTTCTGTGAATGCGAAATTTTGAAGAAATAAATATTTTGGAGATATTTTCCGGGAAAATTAAAATGACCCAAAATTGACCCAAATTTCGGAAAAATTTTGGTCATTTTTGTACACTTTATACTTGTAAACTGAATATAGGTAAATAAGTGGAGTAAAATATAAATGAAGGTAATAAAACAGAGAATAGATTAAAAGGGGAAGGTAAGATATATTAAAGGAGAAACTGAAAGAACTGCTTTTTTTTCTTTTTTATCATTGTTTACTTTCGTGGCATTTGCTAAAATGTACGAAAAAATTATACAACTTTGTGATTGAGAAAAATCCTGGGAATTGTTTCGATTTGGAGAAAAATATTTAACGTTTGGATAAAAATCATAATTGAAATATGGCAATCCTGTGTAATACAGATTAATTAATGCAATAGAGATTTGCAATTGTAGGTTACATTATATTGTTTTGTCCTTTCTTCATTAATTTCATTTTATGTCCACTTTTTCCCTGATAACATAATGAGAAATAAAAGAAATGTTACTTAAGTTACAATATGATTAGTAATTAGTTGTGCTCATTTAGTTTTGTATATTTATTGTTGTTCAATACTATAAATTGTGTCGAGTGTTCTAAAATCATTTGTTTTATCATTTCATATATATATATATTTTCTTTTTCTTAATATCTCTACTTATTCTTTCTAAATAACAAATAAGAACTATAAAATTTTATAAATAAAAATGCATAGCATTGTTGAGTATATTTCTGGACATGAAGGTTACAAATGCGGTTACTGTAAGAGTCCAAATACTAATTTTAGTCATGGTAAGTCTTAGAATATACTTTAAGGAGAATAATAATAGTCAAAACATTATAATTTGATTAGTAACTTCAAGTACAATATTTTCTAGTACCATTAGTTTATTTTCGTTTCAAATGTTGCCTTAGTCAATAGCCTAGAATACATGATACATTATTTGAAATTTGTTTATAACATATGACTATTATTAATTGTATTTGTATTGAAAATATAATTAACATATGGTATATTATTATTTTGGGACTGTAGTATTCCATCTATTTTTTACATGTCCCTCATGGAACTATGAAAGAGATAAATCAGTTTAAAAAGTTATGTATAGATAAAACAATTTACAATTGTAGTAAGGACTTAATTTTTTGCATTTTGGAACTAATCAACCTGATGTAAAGCAGTAACCATCATCTACAAATACAACAATATTATGGATATCACAGCATACATTGTGACTTACTTTTTATTAATCATAAAAGAGAAATAATAATATAAATAATACTGAAAATATTTAGAACAATTAAAAAAAGTGTAAAAATGAGTATGAATTATTTTAATATTGTAATGTAATTAATATTTTCAACAAAATAAGTGTTAATTGTTGATGAGTAATATAACCTAAGTAAGTTGACAAAACAGACTCAGCCCAATAAATATGTTCTGTCTGAATTTACTAATGTATATGGCAAATGTACTTGGGAATATACAAAACAAAAATTATGAAGTCACACTATTTACTAAATAACCACCCGTATGAGTAAATGTATTCGAGAGTAATGGATAAACTTCAAACAGTTTTTTGTCTCACTGTTTTATGTTTGTATCATGTATTTCTATTAATATTCTAAATAAATGAAATAAAAATTTTGTTTTACTTTCTTGTACTGTAAAATTTATATATTTCTTTTTGTTTTTATTTTAGGTATGTGGGCGCATACTTTAACTGTGAGTGATTATCAAGATCTCATTGATAGAGGCTGGAGGCGATCAGGAAAATATTGCTATAAACCAACCATGGATGTAACATGTTGTCCTATGTACACTATCAGGTATGTATTTAAATTATAGATATAAACTATCAGAAATAATATTAATATAAGTTCTGAAAATAATATAAAGTAACAGTAATAAAATGAAAAATTTGTTACCTACATACATTATGTCTGGGATAAAAATATTTTGAAACTAAAACAGTTATAGTTGTAAAATAATTTGTAGTGCTTTCCTAATAATCATTTCCATAATATTGTATTAATAATAATGTAGTAATAGGCGTCCACAGAATAACATATGTTAAATACTTCACCATGTACACATTTACTTTTAAAATAGAGTTATTGTGTATGTACAAGAGGATTCTTTGTTGTATATTGACATCCATATAGAGTTTTGATTCATGAGGCATTCATGTCAATGATGAATTCATGCTAGTACAGGTTTTAATCCCAGGGTTAAAATTAAAATCATGTAATGATTAAAGGAGATTTATAATTGAAGGTGAACATATCATATTGTACAGAATCATACATATCATATCATATAGAACATACACTCAGAAATTAAAGGCGAACTGAGAATTGATTTTTTTTTTGCAAATTATAAAAAATGACTATATAAAATAGGTTGTGGATTACAGGAATTTATAACTACATAAGAGTATGATAATATTATGGCCTTAAATTATCAAAAATATCAATACCATTGTTTCTTTACATTAGTACTGGTTTACATAATTTCATTCCAGCCTTTCTTATCAATAGTTTATAATGTTAACAGGTGCAGAGCTCTAGAGTTTAAAGCAACAAAGTCACAGAAAAAAGTGTTAAAACGATTCAATAAGTATTTATTGGGTCAAGATAACACTGAATCTTCTGGCAATCTAGATAGAAAGATGTCATGCAGTAGTTTGGATGATAACATGGAACATTTACAAGAAGGACAAGAATGTTTTGTAGAACCTACTCAAGGACATCAAGACATTGATATTGCCAATGTAGTTATTGGTGCTGTGCAGTCTGATAAACTAAATGTTGAAGATGATAAAGGTAAGTCATTGTAAATTGAATATTGTTTCAACTACTATAATATAATGTTAATTACATTATGTTATAGTACTTCTGTTGTGCTGTGATATATGGTATTGGATGACAGGTTAAAATATTAATTATAGCTTTTAATTGTTACAATTTCAACAGATTTGTTTAAATATAGAAAGTTTATTTAATGTGTTTAATTGTGCTATATACTGATTATTATGTTTATTTAATTACCAAACTGTTGTAAAAATATTAAATTACTAACTACTACTAACTTACTAAATTGTAACTATTAAATTTAATTATAAATTTTTTATTTTTGGTGTTTGACAGGGGAAGGCTCGACTGAATCAAGTTCAAGTAAAAATCTTAAAGAGAATGATTTGGAAATGAAATGTATGTATACTTATTTCATTATGTTGTATCTATGCAAATCTAATATTATACTAATTTTTTTAGATAAAAAAAATTAAATTATAAATAAACAAGGGAACTCAACCAATTCAATTAATTTAGTGCTTTGTTTGTTTATTACCTTATTAAAATAGTAGATATTAGGCCAACTTAAAATGTGGTGAATGTATTATTAAGAAATGGTATCAATCAGTTTAACTGATCTACTATATAAATTCTACTATATCAACATTTTTATCTCTAATACAACTTGTTTTGTGATAATCAAATTGCATATCTTCACAATTATGACTCTTCTATAATCAGGATAAAAATTTGAGGCCCATGAGTTTTAGAGTCTTACATTTCTCACAAATCTCACGACGAATTTAATTATTATGAAAAATAAAATAGAAGTATAAAATAATAATAATTTAAATTGACTAGAATTTTTATATATAGTAATAAGACTGCATCATTGTGTAGGTTCTGGGCCTGATCCTACAAGAGCGCCTTGCAAAAAAGCAAAGCAACTAAGGCGTGAGAGGAAGTTGGAAAAACTTAAAGAAAAAGGCATCGATGTATCTATTGTGATGAACAGCAACAAAAACAAGGAAAAACAAATAGAGGACTTTATAAATGACCTGCCTGATGACGTTAAACAAAAGTTGGAGGTATACTTAATCATTATACCATTTTGTGCATTGTGTTTCATTATGAATTGAATGAAAAAATATCCATTTTATAATAATTGATAAAGGAAGCTAGTTTTTTCTTAATTCAAATGATTATTGTACTGTATTGTATATTTGTTTGATGTTACCTAGAAATTAAGTCTCTATACATAACTAACTTTTAGGGTTTCGGTTTTGTATTCATGATATTATACAATGCTAAAGTATGTTAATTAGCTTTTATTCTTTCACATAAAGTTGTTAAAATGAAAAAAAAAAACATATTTCTAATGGAGTTGAATTTTTATATCACTTATATACAAAACATGTTACCTAATGCTTATACTTATATATTACAACAACGTAAATATTACATAATATGGAGATAAATAAATGTGGCCTTATCAAGTCTAAATCGTTCACCTATATAATGAGTGAGACAATTACTAGAATGATAACCAGAGCTTCAGAAGCGAGATAGGCAATTAGACAAATATCACGTGATTAAAGAAAAATATAAGATCTATATAAAATGTTATGCCTTCTCTTTTTATAATCCGACTCGCGATAAAAATTGATATTCATATGAATGAAGGATGTATATGTTTACTATGAGTCAAATATGTTAACTAGTAAATTTTTTATATAAGTATAAATTTATAAAAATACGAATTTTACTTAAATTTGTATGGATATAAGAATTTTATAACAGAATTTATAATTGTTTTTTTACTAATTTTTGTTTATGTTAAAGCAACACATGAAGTATGCCACAAGGTTTTCTGTAGTTTTTATAAAGCCATGGATATCTATATGTGACAGCTACAAGTATACATTAGTTGGGTCGTTACCTTGTATTTCATCCCAAATTCCATAAAAAATATTATTATGTTTTATTAATTGATGGAGTGTATAGTGCATTATTTAATTTAAAATAATCCTAGGATGTAATGAATATAACATTTGATATATACCTGTGGTTCACTTAGTACAGATACTATCTTATCAATATAATAGATATATGTAATATTAGGTTATAAATATTATAGTGCAGTCTTATGTGTACATTTATTGCATTGTTTCAGATAAGGTTGGTACGTACTACTCCACCCAGCCCGGAATGGTTGGCAACAGCAAAGGAGACGCATCAAGTATATGTCAAATATCAAACAATTATACACAATGACAAGCCGCAAAAATGTCTTGAAGAAAAGTTTCAAGATTTTTTAGTAAAAAGTCCTTTGCTGGTAAGTATATTATTTTCATTATTACGCACAGGGTGGAATAAAATATAATGAGACATGTTTAGTTCTTTAGGTGTACATACTCCATGTTCTTTAGAATCATAATCTAAGATACAATGTTTATTTAAAGGAGTTTAGTATGATTAATAGTTTTTACTTTTTTAGTTGGTTCCGTTTACAACTTTATTCAGCTTCTTAATATATTATAGATGCATTTGTTCTTATTTATAAAATAATGTTTCGTTTAAGTCGACTTTTCTGAGTGTGTCGATAATATTTAATATATTTTTCTTCATGTTGATTTAGTTTTTCTACACCAACTGTTACATATTTTTTAGCTACATTCAAATATACACGACATACTGGAGTATGTCGTCACTCCTGAGGATTAATGTTATTATTTATTGAATAGAGTAGAATTTTCAATTGATATTTTGATTTACTTATAGGATCTGTTCCCATGTATGTTAATTACATTAAATCTACAGCAATCTTAATATACAGATAAAAATCATTGATAAAAAACACTCACTCTTAGCGTGTTTTTGTTATTTTGTTTACGATGACCCTTCATGTTAAACTTTATTTGGGTTTTTACAGTTTTTATAATAACTTGTCACAACTGTATTGTTATATGTTTTATACTGAATATAATAATGTTATGAAGTTTATACACCCGCAGTAGATAGTTAAATATATTTAATATTTGTTTACACAATTTTATACTACAATATTAGTAGTAATTTAATTATTATGCCAGTATTTTGAATTAGTTATAAATATTGTTGAAAGTATAGTTGAGTATAAAGTTTTTAGTCATGTATTTTACGCTTCAGTTTGTAATGTTCGTTACGACGATGTTTGAGGTCAACGTTTCTTTCATATAGCTCATAGGTTGCTACTAAGAACGGTTCTGAGTCTCCTGTGTACCGTCTTTTAGTGAGTACCTACTAATGTTAGTTTATGTGTTTGTAAACATGTTTGGATGCTTATACTCAATAGTGATTAAACAGATGTACATAATATATGTGAGTAAAATTTAGTACATAATCCAGAATATAGACTATATTCTAGATTAAAATACACGATACTTTTTTAATTTATTCCTGGGGTTTAATATTAATAAAATAGATTATTTGTATTTGTAGACCATCAAAACTGGAAGACCGTTTTGAGAGCCCTATTATGTCCCTGATGGAGGATAAAAGGAAGACCTTGTCGTTAATTTCGTTTTATTTGATTTCAGGAAGAAAAAACTGAGACTGGTCCACCATGCGGCTATGGGTCGTTCCACCAGCAATACCGGTTAGATGGGAAGTTGATCGCTGTAGGCGTGATCGATATATTGCCTAAGTGCGTTTCTTCAGTCTATTTCTTCTATGACCCGGAGTATATGAATCTAACATTGGGCACCTATGGAGCACTCAGGTAACTACAGTTCAGTGTTCAACATGGTATTAAAAGCCTAAATTTAAACTGAGAAACTTTTCTTAAGCACCCTTACTTTTTCCTTTTTAAGTTTTCAAAAACGAGGTATTCAATTTGCCCCTATTGTATGTTACGCTATGTTTTCACCATTTACGAAGACTAGATCGTTATACTTATGTACCTTGTAAATTATCTATAATATCTCATAACATGCTAATAGAAGCATTCATCCTTTTTTTTATACCACAAAGGTGGCAAACAAGCATATAAGCCCGTCTGATGGTAAACGGTCATTGTGGCTTTTTAGCACTGTATCCCATAAGGTTTTTCTTATAAAAGATGGCTATAGCCTATAATAAACATCTATTTCTAGTAGTGAGAAGTCAATGGGATTTCATATTAAATATATTGAAATCAATAATTGATGATGTTTCAGAGAGATCGAATTTACAAGACAATTACACTCGTCGGCTCCAGAGCTGAAATATTATTACATGGGGTATTATATCCATAGCTGTAGGAAAATGAGATACAAAGGTAACTTCTTCCCTTCAGACCTTCTGTGTCCCGAGACCTATCAATGGTTTAATATAAAAGACTGCATACCTAAATTTGAGTCGACGCCGTATTCCCGATTAGATACGAATATAGATAACATCGATAAGAATTATCCCACCGATGGTGATATAAATTACGTACCCGTTTTAGTTAATGGAAGTGTTTTTCTTTACAAAATATATAAAAGAACAATTGGCAAGAAAAATGACGATAAAGAAGAAGTTGCAGAATACGCTCGTTTGGTTGGCACTAAAACGGCGAAGAGTTTGATATTAGTTAGATAAAGTGAATTATCTGTTACCTAATGATTATCTATAGAATTGTAAAAATATTGAATTATTTTAATAATTTAATTATTATGCAATTTATGTAGTTAACATGAAGAATATTAAAGAAACCTGTGTATAAAGATAAAAATACATGATTAGAGATAGATATAGGTACTTACCAAATACTACTTAGAAATCTAGTGAAAATTTTATATTCTTGCTCTTATGCACTCAACACTGTTTTCATTATATACTCAAATATGATTTTGTCATATTGCATCTTCAAAAAACATAAGGTAATTTTGTTTTTTTTTTTTCGTAATTAATAAATAAATATGTTTTAATATAGGAATATGATTACTAGTCACGTGAACATTTATGGTAATCTTCCCATTAAGTTGTTTTAAAAAAGCGTAGCTTTAAAACATTTAGTGTGAATATTACTGCTCATAAATAGTCTTTCAAATAAGGCGGTATGGCTGTCACATTTGTAGAAGATAATACGTATTCAGCATTCAATTCAAATATATATACAATTAAAATAAAAAATGAAATGAAAATCTCCAAATGAATAATAGTAAAATAAATGTAGTTACTATATTTTTGTACACAATGCGAAATTATAATAAATGTTTTCTCATACTTTACATATAGAGGTCTTTTTATGTATTTACTTATGATATGTAAATTTCATTTCGATTTGGTATGGAATACTCGAAAAATAAAGTAAAATGATGTCTTGTATGATATAATGTACCAGTAGACGTTACTTTATTACTTTTTAACAGGGTGTTACTAAAATGAACTACTCTACAAATTAGTATTTTGCAATTTATAACTTACTGAGGGGGACTGTCCACGACGTTTATTTTTCCTTTTCTCTTCCATATTCCTCTGTCTCTCTTCTTTTAATTTTCCATATATTTAATTTACATCTGTTTTCTATTCTCATCATTTTCTCTGTATTTGTTATTTAACAAACATGAGATATTATTAATGAGAGAATAGCTTGAAATCTCGTTAACATTCAACCATAAACCATATATTGTATAGTCCCTATACAAAACTTGTCTGCTTGATTATATAACTTTGTCCCATTTATAATTTTGTTGCCAAACAGCTAAGTCTGCAAGATGATGTTGCAAGCTTGATTGATGGATGGGACAATTCAAACTCATTCAATCCGATATGCATATATATATAGTATAAAATGAACAACTGAAATAGGACATTTGTTAGTTTCCCTGTGGTAAAACTTGTAATTATTGCAATGAAAATTATATTGTAGAAATTCATGAAATATATAGACAATGTATCAAGAATTAATTTCTATTTTGTTTTTATGATCTTTACAGTAGGATACAACGTTGTTTAGTTGACATTTAAATATAGGCCTTAAAAGAAATGTGAAGCAAAAATGTAAAAGAAAGTATATTTTCTTCTCTCTAAATCATTTTTGTAAATCTATATATATCTTATATTTATAATTGGCCAATATGATTTATTCTTATGTCGGTAGAATTTTAAAACAAATACGAGGTTTGTCCGGAAAGTACGTATAAAAGTTTTTTAAAAATTTTATTTTACAATTATTCAGGTAAATCAATTTTATCCCCTTCAAAGTACTCCCCCTGTGACATAATGCACTTGTGCCAACGCCGTTTCCACTGTGAGAAGGCTTCTTGAAAGTCCTCTGGTTGTAGGTTTCTCAGCTGCCCCGTCGTAGCTTTTTTTATCTCATTTATGTCCCCCAAATGCCGCCCCCGAAGTACCAATTTGGTTTTTGGGAACAAGAAGAAGTCACACGGGGCCAAATCCGGCGAATAGGGGGGGTGTTCGGTCACCGTAATGGAATTTTTACTCAAAAACTCACGGACAACAAGAGAGGTGTGGGCAGGGGCATTGTCGTGGTGAAGAATCCAACGCCCCTCTCGCGCCAATTCTGGACGAACTCGTGCCACACGAGCTTTGAGGCGTCTGAGCACATCGACGTAGAATTTTCCATCAACTGTCTGGCCTGGAGGGACGAATTCTTGATGGACAATCCCCCGAACATCGAAAAAAACAATCAACATTGTCTTGACATTTGAGCGGGATTTTCTTGATTTTTTTGTTCGTGGTTCCCCGGATGTCTTCCACTCTTTGCTTTCACGGCCATTCTTGCCGAGTTTCGAGAGAAACTTGATTACGACGCGCTGCTCTTCAACGGAAGCGGGCTCCATGCCGACGGGGTTTCGTTAAGAGGTAACTTCACAGATGGCGTGACAAGCCAGTTCGCACCGCACGGCGGTCAGACCAGAACTGAAGCATTGTTAGGGACATAAGGAAGGGGTCCTGCGCTTACCTGGCCTCCCCACTCCTCTTTTTCGCATTCCAGAACACTTTTATACGAACTTTCCGGACAGACCTCGTACACTTGAATGCTGAAGACAGATAGACGAAACTTCTCTGATTCCCTCGAATATGTGTCAATATTATTTTTTAAATGTGTTTAAGTTTATTCAGCATCTTATGCTTATTGGTATGGATCTAAGTACTTATTAATACATTAGAAAGCAAATTATCTACTTATGCTTGCGAGTTATTTATCCTATCCACAGTTTGGGTTGTTTTATACTTAACACTTTTTTTGTTAGATTAATTTACTTTATGCCAGTTATGTTAGGCAATCGTCATAAATAACCATGATTTGTAAAGATATAATTTAAAACTTGCAAAAAGTTTATTCAATAAAGTGATATTTACATTAATATTTTTTTTTTTTTACTTACTGATCCATAAACATATCCATCTGGACATTTATAAAATCAGCATTATCTGACTGCCAGGTACATAAATAAGCGCAGTTTATACGCAGCACGTTGCGTATCTACTTTATTTTTTTGTGAACATGGCTTGTGAAAGGAACAGGAGTAATCCATATACGAATATAGAGATATAATTTATATTGTGCGTTTTTTTTTTTGTAAATTATTGACTTTCTGGTAATGGTAAATGTTAATAAACCTAATTAATCTAAGAAAAGGTTCGTCACCGCTACATGAAGCAAGATAAGCTCGGTGAAATGGCATGATTTGTTGCTACATTTACAACAACAGCAACATTATTATTAGAAGGCTTTTGATTATCCCATTTGGAATTATTTGCTCAATCAATCAATAGCCTTCTCATTGTCCCGCCGATTGGTAGGGCGGGCGAGGTGGAGGCTTCGGGGCGTACCTTATTACCCCAATTTCAACTCCAGAGGCTACTACCTCCAGATCTCGTGGTTTTAAGCTGACATACACTAGGTGTTATGCGTATGTTGGCATGAATATTTACTTATTATACTTTAATACGCCTAGAAAGTGTAGATGGCGGGCTTAACGCCATATGTCGTTATCTACCAGACGACCATAGATAGGAACAACAGAAAATATAATTAACAGAAACAGAAACAATATTAACATAAAATAGTAATATATAAATAATATAATACTCAAATTACGTACATTACAGATACATATGTATATAACAATATATATTGTCAGACGAAAAACCATTTAGATACAAGGGAAATACCAGCAGTAGACAAAGCAAAATGTCTACAACACATTAAGATAAACATTACGATTCTAGGGATTTTACAAGAACAATATAATAAGAATAATAATATGAAGAAAGGGAAATTAGTCATTATATATATATGTTCTAATATTCAATAGTGTACATGAGACACAAGTCATGATAGAGATTATGCGCCATTTTATAGGACAATCTGGCTTGAAGGACCATTTTCTTTTTCTCGTGATTAAGGGATGATTATTCATTATGATGTGTAACCTGTGCCATAAATTAGTATTGTAATAGTATAATTAACAAAATTAAAAGTTGATATTTAGTAATAATTATCAAATAAACTTCAAAAAGAGAAATTCAACGGCTATTTTAATTCTTGTACCTGACCTACAATAACCCGCAGTTGGTCGCATCTATGAGTCAATGTTGTACGCCTACTTAGACTTCTCGTCAGCATAAGTAAGCACCCTTATTGTTTGAATTATAACCGTGATATATACTGTATAATGAAAGCAGTTTGAATATATCTATATTCAAACTGCTTTCATTATAGACCCGTCATGCAAAGTTCTTGCGGGCACATATCGATGAACTCTGGACCAGATTTGTGTCTGAAATCGAAACTTCATTCGAACAAGTTTCGATCTGGGGCGAATGCAATCTTGTACATTTCAACCTTAAGAAGACACAAGTCTGTGCGCTCACCGCAAAAAAAGACACCGTTTGTTGAATCTTCTTACTTTCAGGGCACTTCCCTCGATAATAAGTCGAGTCTGGGGATTCTTGGCGTCTATATATCTAGCGACGTCCAATTTTGCGATCATCTGGAAAAAAAAGCTAAGATAGTTTCCAAAAAATTGGGGGTGCTCAATAGGTTGATGCGGTATTTCACGCCTGAACACCGCCTGAAACTGTATAAAGTTTAAGTCAGGCCACATATGGAATACTGTTCTCAGTTCTCAGGAGCGTCACAGTACCGACTCCTTCCGTTAGACCGTATTAAAAGTCGGGTAGCTCAAATTGTTGACGATTAGCGCCTTACTGTCCGACTCGACCCACTGAAACTGCGGAGAGATGTTGCATCTCTGTACATCTTCTACCGAATTTATCATAGAGAGTGCTCTGAGGAATTGTTCGGATTGATACCTGCTGCTGATTTTCACCATCGTACAACCCGCTATGAACTAAAATTTCATCCCAACCATCTGGACGAGTGGTGGTTCTCCACCGTGCGTTTTTCAAGGCATTTTCTTACACGCACAATCACTTTTTGGAATTAACTTCCAGCAGCAGTATTTCCGAACCGATACGACAACATAACCTTCAAGAAAAGAACATATTCCTTTTCAAAAGGCCGGCAGCATACCTGCAATGCCGTTAATGTTGTGAGTGATCATGGGCGGCGGTAGTCGCTTATCATCAGGTGAGCCGCATGCTCGTTTTCCCCCTGTGTTGTAAAAAAAAAGTTTTAAAAACAGCCGCCATGTCTCTTTGACATGTTTATATTTTTATATATTTTTGTTATTTGCATTTGCTTGTTCATTATTATTTACCATATTAATATGTTTTCTATATATTAATTTATAATTTAACATTGTTTGCCAATTGCTTTAACCATACTATGTGTATACACTATATATTTTGTGAAAATACTTCAACTTGTTCTTGAAGTTGACCGTTTTGCATAAGTTTTATTATTGTGTTGTTATTGGATACGTCTTTCATTTCATGAAATACAAATGCATTCATTCCTGCTAAGTATAGAAAAGTAGGTAGATAATTATTCCTAATTATGGTAAGACTAATCGACATTAATATATGGTAGTTGATTGTCAATAAAAGAAATAATTAAATATGTAGGTATATAGTTATTTCTTAGTAGTGGAATGTAGTGTATTACGATCTTAGGTCAGTACGTTATTTGTGCCAATTTAGCTCCAAGAATGTTTTTTTTATTTTTTTGATTAATTTTACTGATCTTGTTTTTGCAGAAGGCCAGTTGTCTTGTAAGTAAAGGAGGTTGGGGAGTGTTAATTTGTTACGCGAAATAAAAAGTAGTTTGACAATAGGATATGTACTTTATACTAGCGCATTATTTATGTTTAAATTAATTAGAATGTATAAAATATTGTATTCTTATCGCAAAAGAAGATGTCTTCGATTCTCAGGGAATTTCTAAATCCGTCTCTAGTGATAACATATTTAATGGAGACCATAAATACAGAGTCTACAAGAAAAATGTGTGTTGGTACGCGATATCTTTACTAAGTTAAAATAGATTTTCATTATTCTTTTTTAACAAAAAAATTTACTTAAGTATTTTAGCAATTTCTCAAGATTGAAGAAGGTTTTTAGGAAAAAGTCTTAAATTTTCATTTTTACCTATTTCGATTTTTAAAGCTAAATGTGATGAATCCTTTTATTTGGGGAAAAGGGTTTATTAGTAACGGGGTCCAACAGCTCTATTGTTAGCAATATACTTTATCAGGTCGACCTCTACGAGGTTCCTCCGGAAAAACATTATGGACAATTCTTGAAAATTTCGTTATGATGGACTTATTGAACTGCTTTCATTCTCATCTATCATCTCCCACTGTTACCCCGCTAGCGTATACCGATAGCGCAGGCGGCTTTACCATGCCATTATTACCCATTAAAAAAATTATCTCATTAGCATTTAGGTATTAAAGAATGCGAATACAGTTGCTGTAAGGCACAATAGTGCATTTAATATATTACTATATTTTGGTTCATCAATATCATCATTTCAGCTTATCTTATCTTATAGGTGGTAGAGCCACGCTGTAATACCATATGGTATTGCAGCATGAATGGGCCGGCTCGACCGGGGAAGTACCACACCCTCACAGAATACCGACGCTAAGTGGCTGCACTTTTAGTGCGACCACATTCCGTATGGTGAGTGAGGGAGTCCGGAGGCCCATCCTATACCCATCCCCTTCCTTATCCTAAAATCCTCCCCCAACTCCGTCCCCCCATCTTTCAATACCATGGCAGTGGAATTTAAAAAAAATAACGTACCCCAGGGAGGTACCAGCAGCCATGTTGCTGGAGAATCCTCCCTCGAGCAACCACGCTCGGGCTGCCCTGCGTATTCTGGGGGGGGCAAAATTCCGCTCTATGGGACCAAGGGCAAACAGAGCAAGACTTCTGCGGCATCCCCTTTGCTCAATGTGAGCCTCTGTAATATTAGGGGAATTCATTCAAACCTGAACGCTGTCCACCACCACCTAGAAACGGCGCGGCCGGCATTGCTCTTCCTCACGGAGACACAGATATCCCCTCCTAACGAAACATCATACCTGACCTACCCGGGGTATAAGCTTGAACATTGTTTTGTTTCGCGTGCCGGTGTATGTGCGTATGTCAGAGAGGATATCTGCTGTCGACGCCTTGGGACTCTTGAAGGTACGGACCTGTCCATTCTATGGCTGCGCGTAGATTGCAATGACCATCCCCGCATCTATGCGTGCCTATACAGGTCCCACAGCGGTAACACTGAAACCGACCAACTAATTGAGCACGTCCAAATGGCTACAGATTCCCTGCTTGAGCAGATTCCTTCCGCTGAAGTCGTGATTGTTGGCGACTTTAATGCCCACCATGCCGAATGGCTTGGTTCGCGTACAACCGACTATGCGGGAAGATCTGTTCATGACTTTGCTTTGGCTTATGGTCTGACACAGCTTGTTTCCTCGCCTACGCGAATCCCTGATGTGTTGGACCATTCACCTTCACTGCTGGACCTTCTGCTGACCACCCACCCAGACAACTATGTGATCTCCGTCGAAGCCCCGCTTGGATCGTCGGATCACTGTTTGGTGCGGAGCGAAGTGCCTCTTACGAGTCCGACTCCACCTCGTTCTACGGGTAGACGTCGCATTTGGCACTACAGGTCGGCAGATTGGGATGAGATGCGGATTTTTTTCGCATCTTACCCATGGAGGCGGGTTTGCTTCACACTGGATGATCCCGACGCCATTGCCGATTCCATTGCTGATGTGGTGCTTCAGGGAATGGAATTATTTATTCCTAACTCTGTGGTGCCCGTCGGCGGGAAATCCCAGCCCTGGTATGGAGCCTCCTGTAGAACAGCATCTCGTCTGAAACAGGAGTGCTTCCTAACCTGGGCTAAAGGTGTGGCGTCGCGAGATCCTAACACCAGTGCTCTTAAAAAGAAGTATAACTCTGCCTCTAGGTCCTTCAAAAGAGTTATAGCCACAGCGAAGTCAGAGCATATTAGTAGAATTGGCAAGAGATTGGCTAGTTTGCCCTCTGGGACTCGAGCTTTCTGGTCTCTTGCCAAAGCTGCACAAGGGAATTTCTGTAAGTCATCTTTTCCACCTTTGCGCAGGGAGGATGACTCGTTGGCCCAGAACGCTAAAGAAAAGGCCGATCTTCTTGGATCCATCTTTGCGTCAAACTCGACATTGGATGACGGGGAGAAACCACCACCGACCATCATGTGTTGTAGGAGCTCTATGCCTGACATTAAATTCACGCATAGCTCAGTGCGTAGAGCACTTTTCTCCCTCGAAATCCATAAGTCGAGTGGGCCTGATGGTATTCCTCCAATTGTGCTTAGGACGTGCGCACCAGAGTTGGCTCCGGTTCTTACGCGTCTTTTTCGGCTTAGCTACTCATCGGGCATGGTCCCAAAGTTTTGGAAGACTGCTCTGGTGCATCCGATCCCTAAAAAGGGAGATCGCTCAGATCCAGCTAACTATAGGCCCATAGCTATCACTTCCTTATTCTCGAAGGTTATGGAATCCATCATTAACCGTCAACTGCTCCGGTACCTAGAAGAGCACCGGCTGATCTGTGATCGCCAGTACGGCTTTCGACAGGGACGTTCGGCCGGTGATCTTTTAGCTTACTTAACACACCGATGGGCAGTGGCAATCGAGAGTAAGGGAGAGGCCTTAGCAGTTAGTCTGGATATTGCGAAGGCCTTTGATCGGGTGTGGCATAGAGCGCTGCTTTCAAAGCTACCTTCATTTGGGTTGCCTGCGAGACTGTGCATTTGGGTCGCCAGTTTTCTCAAGGAACGTAGCATTAAGGTCGTAGTCGACGGTGCATGCTCTGATTTAAAACCTTTGAATGCTGGTGTTCCGCAAGGCTGTGTACTATCTCCGACTCTGTTTCTTCTGCATATCAATGATATGTTACAGATAAGTAATATTCATTGCTATGCGGACGACAGTACAGGAGATACATTATATACCGGTCATGCAAAGATCTCGCGGGCACATACCGATGAGTGCCGGAATAGACTTGTGTCTGAAATCGAAACTTCACTCCATCAAGTTTCGATCTGGGGTGAACAAAATCTTGTCCAATTTAACCCCAAAAAGACACAAGTCTGCGCATTTACCGCAAAAAAGACGCCGTTTGTCGTATCTCCTCACTTTCAGGGCACTTCCCTTGATAAAAAGTCAAGTCTAGGAATTCTGGGCGTTGATATATCTTGCGACATCCAGTTTTGCGGTCATCTGGAGGAGAAGGCTAAGATAGCTTCTAAAAAGTTAGGAGTGCTCAATAGGGTGAGACGATATTTCATGCCAGAACACCGCCTGAAATTATATAAAGCCCAAGTCAGGCCGCATATGGAATACTGTTCTCACCTGTGGGCAGGAGCGCCACAGTACCAACTCCTTCCGTTAGACCGCATTCAAAGTCGGGCGGCTCGAATTATCGATAGTCAACGCCTTACTGTCCGACTTGACCCATTGAAACTGCGCAGAGATGTTGCGTCTCTGTGCATCTTCTACCGAATTTATCATGGGGAGTGTTCTGAGGAATTGTTCGGATTGATACCTGCTGCTGATTTTCACCACCGTACAACCCGCCACAAACTAAAGTTTCATCCCAATCATCTGGACGAGTGGCGGTCTTCCACCGTGCGTTTTTCAAGGCACTTTCTTCCACGCACAACCATTCTTTGGAATCAACTTCCAGCAGCAGTATTTCCGAACCGATACGACAACATAACCTTCAAGAAAAGAGTATATTCCTTTTTAAAAGGCCGGCAGCACACCTGCAATGCCGCTGGTGTTGTGGGTGATCATGGGCGGCGGTAGTCACTTACCATCAGGTGAGCCGCATGCTCGTTTGCCCCCTGTGTTGTAAAAAAAAAAAAAAAAAAAAAAGCTATTATCTGTCCACTGTTAGACATAGGCTTCCCCCATAGAATTGAGGGGTTTTTCCAGTAGTTGCCACGCTTGGCAGGCGGGTTGACAATCGCAGTTCGATTTTCTTATCATTCGAACATAAGTTCCCTTAGTCGCCTCTTATACCTTGACACCCACGGTAAAGAAGGGGTGGTCCATTCTATGCCAGGCCGGGACCGACACGGCGAGTCGAGTCGAGTATATTTTGGTTACCATACTTAAATAGGTATCTATCACAGAATTTTATCTTGCCAGTAGGAGGATTGCCAAAAATGGAACGTTCCAATATATTTCTAGGTATTTGAGTTCATTCATTAGCATTTCCTTTATAGCTAATGTTAACAAAAGCTAGATGTAACTCACTAGGTGTGACATACATGATGGATAAATATTAGTATTGGTCATTGTATCGGTGTGTGCCTACGTGGTTTATTTGGTATTTTTTATTAGCTACTGATACTGATAATAAGTACATACATGGGTATGTAAATAGTCATATTTTAAAAAGAGATAACAAATTTTTTTATAAATTATACAGTAAAGCTAGTATGCAATTTTACATTCAATAATTATCTATTAGATTTATTTATTTACAAGACAGCTTTACAACAATACTGCTAAAGATTTAGATTCAATATTTTCACTATAGCCAAATAAATAATTGTCAAATAACACCATGTCGTTTCTAGAAGAAAAAATATTCATAATAGATACTATTTGAACAGGTGAAAATAAAATGTGTAACAATTACGTACTATAAACAATAAGGTATAATATTTCATCAATATTTAAATGGGCACAGTACTCGTATTGTCAACATGGAAATAGAGCATAAATTTACTGCATGTTATTGTGTTCAATCTCGTTCATAATTTGTCTAATTTTATGACTAATTAAAAATTCTCCTCGGCTTCTCACGGATGGAATATAGATTTCACGGAATATATATATATTATAATAGAATCTCTGTATTTTTTTTAAACATACATATATTTATATGTATTTTGTTCGAGGAACATAGCCCATAGCCTATGTTGATAATAATGCTTTCTGTAGGTGAAACGAAAATTTAAAATCGGTTGACTATTTATTTGCTCTTTTTTATAATGTTTGCTTAGATATCATCGAGACGCAGATTGCATTAATTTTCGTTTTTGGATATAAAAGATTTTCGTGTAAAAGTATGTCTGCGTGGATAGTTCGATTCCATTTATGTTGCTGCCACCAAAATAGTTGTAATTTCATAACAAAAAATCTTAATTTTCAGGAATTGCAATATATTATTTGTACTAAGAGCATCGCATATTTTGATATTCATGGTACTGTTCATATCTGTCTATTGACAACAGTATTACTTTCCATGATGTGAGTCATCAGCTTGTTTGCTTGATTCCATGTTTTATAAGAAAGTTTATAGAGTTATTCTTGCAGAATATTAGACAATCGCAAAGCTTGAACAAAAATTATCTGATAGTATTAAGGTAGTATTTTTTTTATAAACAATGATGTATAATTAAAGAAGCAATGTATAAAAATAGCTTTCACAGTTGAGTTAAAAGGCTGACTTATTGCTAAGGATTCTGCTTACTACTTATTTATTTTGATTGCTACCTGAAGGTATAAAATATACTATATATCTCTTTTAGTTTACGATTTTTCTTTTTTTCTCCGTTGGAAGAGTAGAAATTACCTTTGTTAGTGAAGGTAGAAGGGAGGGAATCGTTAGTATTGATTAGCAGACCTATTGTTAACAATACTCTATGAGATCCATCTCCACGTGGAAATCATGTAGTTAATTCCTAGTGAAAACGTCACAATAGGACAATTGACTAAACTTCATATCCACCCATTACCACTATTATCCTACTAACTTAATCTAAAAACCCAGGCGTGCTTAGATATATATATTGTTACGCAGATAAAAAAAATATTTTCCAATTAATTGCCAAAATGTGTTGATTGATTTAATTTGACAGTAAATAAGTACAATAATACAGAGTTAAGCTCGCCTGTTGTATATCTTTGTTCAAAATAACTTATAACAATGTAAGCTTTGTGTGCTATTACACAGAAATAAAAGTGTAAATGAATAAATTAAATATATTCGAAAAAAAAATGCAATGATAAAATAATCAGCTGTCTTTAATACTTTGTGATTAATATACAGGGAAAGGTGTTATAGTGAATTCTCAAGTAGGTAATACCTAGCCATTGACGGCTAAGTTAATGTTTATTGACAATCGGATGCTTGACGGCACGCGAAGGCCTTCGGGCTTCGTGGAGTGCAGTTTGCGGATGTAACCAAACTTCAGAGAAGGCAGTCGCGAAAAGACTTGCGCGCGCGCAGCCCGCACGCTCAACCGTGGGTGGATACAGTGAATAGATCATCCGCACGGATAATTTGTGTTTACATACCTGTTACGTGTGCGAATCAAAATGAAATTAAATATAAAGGCATTTGGTGAGTTATGTTTTGTTAATCATTTCAAATTAAAATTATCTTATGGAATTTAATACAAAGCCTTGAATGTAAAGTACAAACTATTAAACACCTTTTTTGCTTCATCTTCTGGCTACTTTGATTGTAATCAATGAGATAATATCTATTGTGACCTTGATTGTGTAATCAAAATGTAATTATGACAAAAATTTATATTTTTCAAAAGTATCTATAGAGATATCTATATCTAACTAAAACATAAATATATTCAAATTCACATTTATTAGATGCCTACATTTATTTAACCAAAGATTCATTGCGAATTTTCGACACGCGAACTGTTTTTTGGATGCTTAGTACGCGACAATTGTTTTAATAACACTGGGACCACACATCATAGATCTAAATTTTAGATTTAGATTAGAAAAAGATTTGGAAGTATAATCTTATATTATGATATAAATATTATTTTGTAATGTGTGTAACGAAAGAAGTGCGAAGGCTAATAGTCAGTAAATATTATTATTCCTACATTAATAATAATATCTATTTAAAATACAATATACCTACCTAAGTACATATTTGAGAGATTATCGGATAAGTGGCATTCTTGTCAATATTCTTAACTAGCAGTTATCGATGTCTTTGCTTGTATGAGTTGGGTGGGTATTTTGCACGTTAATTTGTAGAATTAGGTAATACCTGTATATTTTAGTTGCAATATCTATATACTGGTATAATAACGAATATGTTAAAAGCCTGTTATTAAAAAATAATCTTGGATAATAGACTTTCGATATATTCGAATATAGATATCCGAATGATATGGATCATATCGAAATGGGTGTTGTCCTTTTTTCCACCATCAGTGTCCAGAGAAACCCAATATATAGATATCGGATCGGTATCCACATTACCCATGCCTATTAACTTGGTTAAAGTCCATCTATGTATCAAATTTCATCTAAATTCATTCCTTACTAAGCGTAATTGAGTAAACATACGAATATCTTTAAAAACTTTCACATGAATATTATTAATAAGAAGTTAGATAATAATATGAGTAGGTACTTAAGTAGGAAAACAAATCTGTGTATTTTCTTGGTACGTACTGTAGGACTGGTTGAAAATTCTTTGTATTTGCACAGTAGGTATCTACCTATATTGCATTTTAATTTTAAATCAACATAGACATTGAATATTAAAAGAATTTTTTATTTGTAAATTTTCCTCTTACTTGTAAAACAAAAATTGTGTGAAGTGTTTTCCTTTTTAAATAAAGTTTTATTTGTATTTATTAAGTAACGTTTGTAAAGATATATAAATGTTAAATATGATAGAATATGCCAAAATAAATAAAGATTTTATTGGAATTTCAAGTTATAGAATTAATTAAAATTATAATAATTAATAATTTTGAGTATAACGAATTATAGTAATAATTATAAATAAATATTGCTGGCGCGGAAACTTATACACAGCCGCATTAGTTATTACGAGTAATTAACCTGTTTAACCTTGTGTATTGTCTGAAGTTTTTATACTAATTTACAACAGAACAAATAAATAAGGTTTTCTATACAAACAATTTTAAGATAAGACCTTAATAAATAAAGATTATGTTCCACAAAAAAAAAAAAACGGTTTTAAATGTGACCAAACTAGTAATTATAAATCTAAAAACTAAACTATTGAACCGATGTTTATAAAATTTCTATTTGTCCAATCTATAAGTATATTTGTTCAGATAAAAAAAAAAAGAATTATCCAAATTGATTTAGAAATGACGGATATACGAGTAACCGAAATGAGGACCTCCTTGTTTTTGAAATCGGTTAAAAATATACTTAAGTAGGTAAGTATAAAATGTATGAAAGTACCTTAGAAATAATTACGATATTAAGGAGTTTCTTCTGTACATTCATATATTTAATTTATACATACAAAAAATAAAATGGAGTGTCAATAAATAAGGTAAATTGTTCATATTATAACTGTTTGTTTATTACTTCTTAGCATCTTGGCAGCTTAACTAATTACTGTGAAATTTGGTATACACGTAACTGCTACACACTCGTTTATGGGATGGACAACGACATAGACTACTTTTTATCACGGTTAGTAAACATATCCGTGTCACGCGAACATAGTCGGAGGTAAAAGATAGTCGGTGTATAAAGTATCGTATCTGACAAGTTAGAATATAACTTATTCGTGTTAATTTAAATCCATTCAGTAGTTTTTGCGTGAAATAGTAACGAACATTTATCCTTCCATACATTTTCACAAATTTTCGTATTTATAAAATTAGTATGAGTAGGATAAGTAAGGATTACATACTATACTAGATATATGGTATTGTTATAAGCAATTTGTTTCACACTTTTTGTTGGAAAATTTATTATTGTTCAATTTTTATAAATTAAAAGTACCTAATACTTTTTAATTTATTTTCATCAGATATATAAAATTGAGTATTGATTGGATTAAATTATCAACATTTTCAATTGTAATAGGTTTTCATGAATGTTTAAAGACTTACATCATTTTAAATTAAATAATCACTGTATACTTAAATTCCATTCCATGCTATGCCATGTTGCTCACGTTTTCTGTCACATTTGGGATTCGCTGTACAAACAAGCTGTAAATTTCTCATGTATTTTTATTGTTAAAAAAATATTTTTGGTAACTTAATTTTAATTCTAAGTTTTGAATATGTTTTTTAGGTGTGGTCAGGTAAGTACTAAGAAGGTAAGTAATAATTAAAACAATAAACAACTTTTCTAACTTTGTTCCCTTTGAGATAAAACCTTTATTAAAATCTTTGTTTCCTTCGAGATTAATGTTATTGAATATTGTTATGCATAGTTATGTTAATCATATAAATAAACATAATATTTTAACGTCTTAAAAGTACCTACTGTTAGAAAAATACCTACAAGTAGGAAGTTACATAAAGGAATCGTACGATAGTAGAATTCAATTTTATACGAAGGTTTATTGAGATAAAGCCTTGATACATTACTTCATGATACGATAGATTAAATATTTATTGCATTCCATTTTTCATATTACGTACAGGCCGCTAGAGAGTTTTATATTTAACCGACTTCAAAGCTTCATTTTTTATGTTTGTTACTTCATAACTTCATAAATTATAATCTGATTTAGAAAATTTTTTCTTTATCTGATTGCATGTACTTTCCGATTGAACTCATGGAAATTTTATCAAAATTGGTTTAGTCGTTTAATTATTAAATGAAAATAAATTGTTTTGTCACGATTGAACTCAATTTTTTGTGGAAGGTAATCTTAAATTATTCATACATATGTTCTAACTATTTCTATACATTACTTTGATAGGTATACTTTTTCTCTCTTATGCCTCTCTGAATTAATATTTTGTTAAAATTTTATGGATTCATGGTCATGGATGAATTAAGTTTATGTATTATAGTATTGTTATGTAATTAGTCAATTTTAGTAATTTATTAGGTATGTAGTTTGGTATGAGTATTATGAGAATTACCTATTATTCATAAAAAGAAATTGAACTTATACTTTAATAGAAATATATAGAATAAAAAGTAAAATATCACATTCATTATTAATTACTAATTAGTAATTAGCACATTGACCCAAAGTAAATAAATGATTACTGTACTAATCGACTCATCTTTAAAAGATGCAATCATTTGTAGTAGCAGATAATTTTTAAACAAAAATGAAAATATATATAGGTATTACCTACGTAAACATATAAATATTTTATATTTTTAAAAACTTAGTCTTTGTCAATCGAGCACAGTTAAATGATATGATTATGTGAACAATTAACGTCTGTGCTAGGTAATCCCTGTACGAGTATTATAATATGGTACATTTTATGTTCTTCTAAGAATAATAATTTTTTATATTTTTTTGTTAGAACTATACAATTTTATATAGATTGTGCGAAGGCAAAAAGAAGTTCTCACGTTGATGATGGGTTACATTATATTTTATCTTTGATAATTTTGTTTTAACGATAATGATTCTTGCAATTAATAGAATTTGTTTTATATTAAAATTGTACTTTTTTTTCCTATGTAATGTACACAGGCACAGCAAAAAATCTTAAAATTATAAATATTTATTACGATGTTTTTATTTCTAATAAGATGATTAACATAATTTTAAGTTTCTTTTTAATGGATGATAATGGAATGGTAACCCCGCCTGCGCTAACAGTATACGCTGGTGGGGCACCAGTGAGGGATGATAGGTGAGGATGAAAAGACAGGTCAATTAGCCCATCATGATGAATACACTTGGAATTCAGTACGATGGTTTTCAGGGGGAACCACGGGGAGGTCGACCTGTTAGGGTATATTGTTAGCAATGGGACTAATAATCCGTATTACTAACAATCCCTTCCCCCCACACAATTTGAGTTGACATACTCTCATTGAAAATATTCGTGGATACTTTTTATGTAACATCGGAAATTACGAAATGATACGAAATTCATTGCAGTAGTGTAGGATAGAGGTGTTGAATATTGATTTAGATAGGTAACTTTTGAACCACGTAGATGAAGCTGCGATATTATAATTATATACCTTTATTATTATTTATTTTATTATTCAATAGAAGTTGTGATAGTTAGGCGTGACACTGGGTAATAGGTACCTAATTATTATATTATCTATGCTCCTGACCACCGCGTAGATATGTTTGCCCTTACTCGTTTAATTTGCATGGTGTCATTCTTAACTTGAAATTCGAATATAGTGAAGATGTCGGTCATTTCACTAATGTTATTGTTACTATAAATATACTCGTACAATATACGTGTTTGTGATTGGATTAATTGTCACAATATAAATAGATGACTTATGACAAAAAGTTTTTGGTATAATAGGATAGTGTAGTAGGCAGATATTAGGGTAGAGATTACGTGACTCTACCTTATAATATTATAAATATATCAATATTATTATATAATATTTGGCTTCGAGTACTCCTTTTATATGACC